GGAGGGATAGGGAAAAGGGAGCTGTGGAGAACCGAGGCTAGAGATTGGACTACTGAGCCAGAGAGAGCCAGTTGGATGGCCATCCTAGTCATCTTGGGGTAGGGTCCAACAGAGGCTGAGGCAAATGTGCCAGGCTGGGAAAGCTAGGGGAAGGTGGGGGGCAGAGCAGCTGAGTCTGCCCCAAGGAAGGTCCCTCGTGGCGGAGGAGCCATGAACATGGCTGCAACGTGGCCACCTGCCCTGACAGATGGGGTGGGGTCAGTGAGTAGAGTGGCCAGTGGCTAGGATTTGGAAGAGAAACCACAGCGTGGAGCAGAAGCAGCAGCTCAGGTGAATCCTTGTGTTTTTTCATATATGTATTTATTTACTTGAGTCAGTATCTCACTTTGTTGCCCAGGCAGGAGTGCAGTGGCACCATGGCTCACCACAGTCTTGGCTTCCTGGACTCAGGAGATCCTTCCACCTCAGCCTCCAGAGTAGCTGGGACTACAGGTACATACTATCACACTCAGCTAATTTTTAAAATTTTTTTATTGTTTGTAGGGATGAGGTCTCGCTATGTTGTCCAGGCTGCTTGAACTCCTGGACTTTAGCAATCCTCCAGCCTCAGCCTCCCAAAGTGCTGGGTTTATAGTCGTGAACCACCACCCTGGCCTAGAATCCTTGTGCTTGGGCAATGGCATAGGGGTCTGTGTGATTCCTCCAGAGCATAGAAGTCAGACAGCATGTACCTCCTCTGTACCAGTGCTTTGCCTGATGTGATATTTGCTCCCCACTACCCCCTGCTCATTCATGCTCTTATCCCCTGTCTTACTTAAAAGGCAGGCTCCTGTGACTCAGAGAAGTGAAGCCAGTCAACTCTCAGGAGGACACATAGAAAATAAGCAGCAGAACTGGGAATTGAGCACAGATCTGCCACTGGTCTCTGGAGCCTCATCTTTCCCACCATACTAGGGCATTTTTCAGTCTCTTCCACGGAATCAGTGTCCCCAGTGAAGAAACACTCACAATAGCTGAACCATGCAGTCTTGTTCCCATTCACACACACACACACACACATGCACACACTTTAAGGTCTTAGCTCTAGCTACAAAAAAACTTACTCAAATATGTGTGAATTTTGAAGTCTGTCGTCATTATTCAGCCATTTTTAAAAACTAAGAAAACTTAGTTCTAAAGACTCAGAACATCTCCAAGTTTTCTAGGGAAATAGGCTCCAAAAGAAGGTGTGTGTTTATCCCGAGGCTCTGTGCCTCTCTGGCTTAGCTGTGTGCACACCTCTAGGGCTGCGATCATACCAGGCTAGTCCCTGGCATGAGTAGAAATAACGGGACACTGACCATGCTGGAGGCTGTCAAAGAAGAGTCAGAGGGGGGAGGGCGCAGACCCCTGAGAGTGTCAAGGGGGAATGGTGGATGTTCCCACTGTTCAACAAATGAAAAGTAATGCATAGTCAGAGATGTCAACAGTCCAGAAGCAGTCAGGCAGTTACACGATCCCAGCCATCTGGTGAACCTAATATATTTAAAACTAAAACTAGATATAGCCTCTTTCCCCAAAGCTTATTAAAGAATGTAGAGAAGATGGAGACTTGCATGTGGTACCTGCTGGTGAGGGTATGGAGATCTAGGTCCTGGTTTAGAATTTCCCAGTAAAGATTCAAGGCATTTTCTCTTTATCGTACCCATTCGCTTTTGCTTTATATGAAGCTTCCCAAATTTACTGGCCTAAAACAGCAACCATCATGTTTGCTAGTGATTCTGTGGATTGGCCATGCAGTTCTTTCAGTCTGGGCAGACTCTGCTGATTTCCTGTTGGTAGCATGACTGGAACAGGCTGGTCTAGGCTGGCCTCACTCACATGTGTGGTGATTGGCTGCTGGTTGTTTGAAGAACAGCAGGGACAGCTTGCCTTGGCTCCATGTGGTCTCTCATCCTCCAGCAGACTAGCCTCCAAGTCTTCAGATCACAGTCTCAGTGTTGCATAAGCAGCAGAGGCAGACAAGCCCCAGTGCACAAGTGATTCCCAAACCTCTGCTTGCAACACACTTGCTGTCATCCCATTGACCAAAACAAATCTCTTGGCCAAGCTGAAAGTCAGTGTGGGAAGAGACTATTGCTTAGGCTGTGGATACAGAAAGCATGAGCACATTGGGGACCATTACTGCAACAATCTACCATGCAATTAACTGGAGATGTCACTTAGCAAGTAGCAATTGTTTCCATCAAATGCCCACCTGAAGACAACTTTGAACCCTATACTGTGGTTAATCTCCATATAAGAAGGCAGTACCAAATAAAACCATAGAACACATACTTAGCCGTTCTAGTGGCCTCTCCTGCCAATCAGGGAGATGAGAAATCCCCCAAGAGGCTGGAAGCAGGAAGTGATTGAAGGACCAGGCGTGGCCCAGCAGTGGAAGAAAGGCCCTAACCTCACCTCCTGTGCAAACACAGAGCAACTAGCAGGCAAATCTGGTCTCTGAGGTGATGAAGAGACACCACTCAGAAACCAGGGGTGGCTGATTTACCAGGAGGCCTGAAGACAGGATTTGAGCTGGAGTTGCAGAGGGAGGGATGTGGACCAGAAAATGTGAACATGTAGCACTCAGCTGGGTTGGCACTCAACTTGGTTAGAGATAGTGACTCATGGGACAGACACAGTTCTCATTTGAAGGCATAAAACTGGGAGACAGCTGGGCTCGGTGGCTCAGCCTGTAATCCCGCGCCTTCGGGAGGCTGAGGTGAGTGGATTGCCTGAGTCCGTGGATTCGAGACCTGCCTGGGCAGCGAGACCTCATCTCTACAATAAATCAAAAAATCAGCCAGGTGTGGTAGCGCATGCCTGTAATTCCTGCTACTTGGAAGGCTGAGGCGGAAGGATCGCTGGAGCCCAGCAGGTCACTGCACTCCAGTCTGGGCGACAGAGTGAGACTCCAACTCAAAAAAAACCCAAAAAAAACCTGGGAGACAATGCCTTTCCAAGTGGGGCCCAGCAGACAGGCTCCTACAACGGAGGGTGGCAAGAAGAAGGGCCGTCCTGCCATTGATGAGGTAGTGACCTGAGAAGACACCAGCATTCACAAGCATATCCATGGAGTGAGCTTCAAGAAGCGAGCCCCTCGGGCATTTAGAGAGGTACAGAAGTTTGCTTTGAAGGAGTTGAGGACTCCATATGTGTGCAAATAACCAGACTCAATAAAGCTGTTTGGGCCAAAGGAATAAGGCATGTCCCATATCACGTCCATTGCGGTTGTCCCGAAAACATAATAAGGATGAAGATTCACCAAACAAGCTCTACACTTTGGTTACCTGTGTACCTGTTGTTACCGCTTTCAGAAATCTACAGACAGTCTTCGCAGACGAGAGCTAACTGGTGATTACCAAATAAGGCTATAAAACCACAATAAGAAATAAAATAGAATAGGGATCTGTTTGTTAACAGAGATTCTAGTTGCTGGACACACAGGCCCATTTGTGAGGTATAAGTGTATTTTCGTCAGTCTGTCAGCAAATGTTCTCTTGGGTAGAAAGTCTGACAGGTCCCTTAAAGGAGTGGTTTTCACATTCGCCTGCAGGGCACTTGGAGAGGGGGTGGGAAACTAGGGCCTCTGGTCTCTGACTCGTGGCTTCATTCACAGCAGATGTGCTTTTTATAAATCAGCTTATTGAGATATAATTCACATACCATACAATTCACCCCAAGTGTACAATTCTGTGACGTTTAGAGTATTTGTAGTGATGCAACCCTCACCACATTAGCAGACGAGTTTTTGTCTGAGTTTGTCTATCAGGTCTCTGAAGGAGATTAAATTTGAAGTTTGAAGTTACTGGTACAGTCTTACCGTAACTTAAAGAACCTTTTCTAAAGAGACTGTAGTTTTTCAAGTTATTTCTAAAATCCCAGTAAGAAACAGGAAATAAACTTGACTTCTAAAATGGATAGCATAAAACCTATAGTAACCATTTGCTTTTTTCACAGAAAGGACACTTAGAGTAGCATTTGGTCTTTTATTTGTTTTTTTGTCTTAAGTCCTTTTCCCAGTTCTAGTGTGGTTAGAAGAGTTTAGAATGGGTGTGGTAAGGCTTCCAGAAAACCCATGGATGTAGCTGAAGTAGGCTCAGTGGTTCAGGATGAAGTGGGGGATCTCCAACTAGCAGATGGGGCTAGTTAGTGTAGGAGCAAACCCTCTTGCACACCCAAGCTGCCTCTAAAAGCATTACTGGGTGATACATTACAATGATCAATGTTCAGATTAACAATGACAGTTAAAAAAGGCCAAGGTCATCTTAGCAAAATGTTCATCAAAAAAGATTGAAGGACCGGGCACAGTGAATCCTAGCACCATGGGAGGCTAAAGATGGGAGGATCACTTGAGCCCAGAAGTTCAAGACCAACCTGGGCAACATAGCAAAACCTCATCTCTTCAAAAATAAAAATAAAAAAATTAGTTAGGCATGGTGGTGTATGCCTGTAGTCTCAGCTACTCGGGATACTGAGGTGGAAGGATCACCTGAGCCCAGGAAGTCAAGGCTGCTGTGAGCCGTGATCACTGATCATACCACTGCACTTCAGCCTGGGTGACAGTGTGAGACCCTGACTCAAAAAAAATAAAAAAGTTTGACAGTTGAAAGATCGAAGGTCATCGTGGGGTAAGCTGGCCCCTGTGGAGACATCCCTCCTTGTCTGGCACATTGTAAGTGCTCAGTAAACAGCCTCATCCTTTACATTTTTCTGTGAAAGGTCATGTCTGAAATATCTCATCCCCTGTTGTTGTCAAATAAACGAAGCATTGGTGAGCTGGTTTCCCCTTATTAACTGGAAGGGCGTATTCTCACTTAGGCTTATTTGGGGGATAGAGTAACCATAGCGTACTATTGTTCTCTAGCTAGAGGTACACGCTCGTCCACCAGGGCACTGGGCTAATCAGATTATTTTCAGTCGACAGACTTGGTTTTCCACCTCTGAACACTTGTGTACTGCCTCTGCTTCATTCACAGGACATGTCCCTGATTTGAGGTGAAACCATGAAGAGGAAATAGAACACATAATAATGCTTTTCCGCAACCGCTTCTTGCTGCTGCTGGCCCTGGCTGCCCTGCTGGCCTTCGTGAGCCTCAGCCTGCAATTCTGTGAGTAGAGAGGGGGCACGGCAGGTTGTGGGAGGGCAGGGGCTTCATTCTGAAGCAGAGGCTTAAGCTCACAGGAGGCCCCGAAGCCATGTCTTTTTCGTTTGTTTGTTTTTTGAGTCAGAGTCTCTCTCTGTCCCTCAGGCTGGAGTATAGTGGCACGATCACGGCCACCGCAGCCTCGACTGGCTGGGCTCAGGTGATCCTTCTGCCTCGGCCTTTCAGGTAGCTGGGACTACAGGCACATACCATCATGCCCGGCCAATTTTTTGATTTATTGTATAGAGAAAGTCTCACCAAGCTGCCCAGGCTGGTCTCAAACCCCTGGACCCAGGCAGTCCTCTCGCCTTGGCCTCCCAAAGTGCTAGGATTACAGGCATGAGCCACTGCTCCCAGCTGTTCTTCTCTTTCAAATGAACAATTAGATTGAAAACAACTAAGTCCCTTTATATTGGTGCTCGTGGTAGACAGTTGCAAACTGAGCTTCTGACCCACTGAGTGGGTTCTGGGAGTACTCTTTTGACGCATGCACGGGTTCCTAAACTACCTGTGTGTTCCCAGATTCTTCGTTCAGGTTCCCCAGGTGGAGCCACTGAGTAACCCAGCTTGATTTCTCGTGCTGAGCCACACAGAGCAGAGGTGTTTGGCCTGCTGGTTGGGTCCTTGAGGGTTGGACACCTGCTTTGTGTTCAGTCTGCTGCAGGACTGGAGTTGTTTGGGACAGGGTGAGGGGATGAGGTCGCCGGTATCAAACTCACCCCCTGGGCAGCAGGGGCTACACATGGGAAATCACGTGTGGCGAGGCAAGTGCACTCCTGTGAAACCAGGCCATGGACCTCCATGCAGCATCTTTCACTGGGACCCTGTGCTCAGGCCGTGCACACTGCAGCTCCCCCAAGAGCGGCTGTCCCTTTAAAGACCTCCTTGATGGCAACGCAATGGTGATGGCCTATGTCTTCTGGGAGGCCCTTGCTCTCTGCTTGGTATTCTCTACAAGTGCCCGCCTCTTCTCTGTGCCCAGATCCTGGCATCTTTCCGCCTAGGCTGTTCTCTTCTCACCCCCCCACCTCCCATCCTCTGCCTTTCAGCCCTTGACTCCTGTTTTCCTGGAACCTTCCATAAGCCCCCAAGGGTTTGGTGCATCTTTGGTATACATCAGGATACCTCTTCCTCTCCTTTCGCTCGCCATGTTCAGTTCTGTGTCTTTTCCTTCTATAAGACTGTCTTGTCTTCCTCTATATCCCAGGAAGCAGCACTGCCCAGCACATGGAAGATATTTCGTAAATGTTTGTTGGATGCATGAATCTGTGCCTGCCCTGGAAAGCAGATGGATCCTGATTTCCTTTCCTTCTGTTGCTGTGCTCTTGGAGCTGTATGATGCCAGGAATTGTGTTTTTGCTGTCACCTGCCTTCCCTCTGTTTCACCGCCTCACCCTGATGGGCGGGCGACAAGCAGTTAGCACCCATCACCACCCAGGACAGCTGTGCGAGGAGGTGGCATTTCTGTCACACTTTGAATGATGGAAGGAAGGGCAGGTGGCTCAGAGAGTGGGATGTTGTGAGTGCGCAGAGGAACATGGGAACAACTTGGTGACAGGAATAGGCGGCTTGAAGAGTGGAGGTTTAGAGCAAGTTTCCCTGGTTCGCCTCCAACTGTGACATATTCCCATGCACACATCTGGGAATGGCAGCCCATTTCTAATAGTAAGGAGAATTTAAAATGCTCATTTTATCCTTCCAAAATTGGAAAAGAGGTCAAAAAAAGGTAGGTGTCAGAAGTTTAAAAATATTCCAGATGGCTAATGAACTGTAAAATATGAATCCTTTCCAAAAGGGTGGTCGGGATTTCAGTAGTTTTTAGTTGTTTATAGCTTTTCATTTAAAAATGCCCAGCCTTTGGCTGGATGTTGCAGTCAGCCCTGATTTTTCTTCTAAGGAGCGGACAGGTTCTGAGACGTGGATGTGGGTTACTTGTGTTTGCTGTGTTTCTCCTGCATGAGCTGGTTCCACGTCACTGAATTGGCCTGTGTGTTTTGCTTATATAACTCTTCTGAAAGTACCTTCTGTTTTAGGAGAGCCAATTTTCAGCCATACTTTTTTAAGGAAAATTTTGCAGGATAAATTAGCCTGGCGGGGTCTGAGCTCTTTATTCTTGGATACATTGGAGTTCGGAAAGATATTAGGACATGGACGTTCTTACTGCTCTTCTGCTTCTAGGTAAACTGTAACTGGAATTTTCCCATTTCTATAGAAATGGAGTTTAATTGCTTCATTTATTTATATGCTTTATTGGTTGCTTTTTATTATGGTGTCAGAAACTGCACTAATTCATTATACAAAAGTGTATGCTGATGTAGCACTTATGTTCTCATTCTTACCCGAAAATATATAAACTTTTTATTTATCATTTCTTTTGACTAATTTTTGAATACTAAATTAGCATATATAATTATTTGAAGTCATGTATTTTAGGCATCCAAATAGAGGTTAACTTTCTCATGCGTTAAGTAAACAGTATAGTTTTATTTTCTGAAATGATTATTTTATTTTGTCTTGTTTGTAGTTTTCTTATGTTTTGAATATGAGAAAGATATGACCCAGGTTACAATTCAAACATCATTGTTAATTGTTGCTTAAGGGCTGTTTAAATAAGTGTTTCTTCGTCTTGATACAGAAAGTTTGTCATGACCTCACATAAATTTATTAAGTGCTTATGTGTGTTTGACATTTTTCCACGCTGTGGGGGTGGAGGTAGTAAGGAAGGATATAAAAAAGATTAAGATACCATTCATAGTTTTTCAAAACAATTTCATCATAAATGGTACTAATGAATTTGCTATATGCTAATAGACCTTAATAAAAATCATTACTTTTGCGTTTTCAAGGCCTTGATGTTTCAAGTTGAGAAATTAGGACATTTGGAAATTCCTGATATTTGAATTGTAGAAGGGAACAAACAAGGCATAAATATTTTTAGTTATCGTTGTTAAAATGCACACAAGTGGAAAAACAGCTTCTCTCAAATTAAAGGACTCCTTTAGTGCAACAAGGAAAGACCTTCATGGTGTGAGGACTGTGAATCATGAGTTATGTTTCTGCTTTTTCTGCTCATTTGTAATCTTCCACTTTACTGCTTTGACCCAGTGTCTCCTGATGCTAATTTTGTGCTCATTCCACCATGTTCCAACCGGCATTCCCAAAATGGCGCATGACAGGAGCACACAGGCTCTGGAATCATTGCATTGGGTTGAATGACCCACTAAGCACCCATGTGCCCTGTTTCTTCTTCTATAAAATAGTGTTAAGTATTGCTGCTTTGCAGAGTTGTTCTGAAGACAGAGACTTTTGGAAAAACCCTTGGCTCATAAAAGGCTGTTTCTTCTTCTGTAAAATAGAGTTAATTATTGCTGCTTTGCAAGGTTGGTGTAAGAACAGAAACTTTGGGGGAAAACCCTTGGCTCATGGAAGCCAGCATCAATCTTTTGAACAAACCAGCACAGAACTCCATGAGAGTGCACCATTATCAGAATCCAGGGCTCTTTGTGTTCAAAAAGTTGCCAGCTTCTGTAACTTCAGCCACTTGGTGGGGAGGATCATACATGCATTTGTTTCTAATTAAACATTGGCCATGAGGGGAGTTAATGCATACTGAGCACATGGCACCTATATATGGAGTCACCCCTCTTGGGCAGGGTCCCCAGGGACCAAAGCAGGCTCAGAGGGAAATGTTGAGGGTGAATTGGAGTTTCAAGGTCCCAGCTGGAAGAGAGAAGAGTTAACCTGCAGAAGTGAAAGGGGGTCGTCTTCAGTATCTGAAGAGCCCTGCCTGCAAGGGGAGGCAAGCCTGTTCTTTGTGGCCCAGTGTGAACATGGAGACGCATGTCAGTTGAGTGTAAAGTAGAACTTCCTTAAAGTCAGTGCCATGCAGAGATGGAATCAGTGGTGTGTTCTCCGTCACTGCAGTCTTCAAGCTCTGGGGGTTGCTCTCTGAAGAGAAGCATATTATGCAGGTCACTGGGCCTGACCCCATTGAAGTTTAGTCTCCAAACTCCGAGATTTTATGAATTTTATTTTTCCTTGTTGATCCAATGCCATGAGTATGTGCAACTTTGTCCTTCAGCAAATGTTCCTTGAGTTTCCACTGTGTGTTAGGCCCTGGGGCTGGGAGTTTAATCCCTCAAGGCCCCAGGGAGTTCTTTGTCCAGTGAAAGAGAGTCGTGGGCAGACACTGGAAAGACCACGTGCAGGGTGGTGTGCTAGGACAGGGAAGAGGTGGCCGCACAGCGAGGTGGGAACGAACATGAGCCCTGGAGCCAGACGACCTGGCTCAAATTCCTGTCTTGCCACTTACCAGTTAGGCAAATTATTTACCCCTCCGTGTCCTGGCACCCTCGTCTGTAAAATAGGGACAATGATAGCTCCTATTTCATAGGGTTAGTAAAGGATTCAGTGGGCTAATATTTGTAAAACACCTGGAACGGTGCCTGGCAGATAATAATCACTACATGTGTGTTTGTTAAATGAATTAGAGATTATTTATGACAGGTGGTATGGGAAGATAGAGGACAAGAACCCTGTCCAGGCTGGGAGTTAGGGAAGACTCCCCAAAGGTGGCAGCATCTGATTTCGTCCTTGAGGGAGACTTAGGAGTAGGTCAAGGAGGCGACTGGAGACGGCACTCCTGGCAGATGGAGGTGGGTGTGCAAAGGCAGAGCAAGAGAGCAGGCCTAGGCAGGTCACCTGTGTGTAGCTGCAAAGTGGGACCAGAGGCCAGGACCCACCTCCCAACATCATGCAATATTCTAAAGACTGTGGGAACCACTGAAGCAGGGAAGGCATCCTCAGATTTGTGTCTTGGAAAGACCACATGTTTTCCAAAGTGTGGTTTCCTGCACACCTTGAGCAGAATCACCTGGGGAGCATCTTAAAAATACATGTTCCAGAAACAAAAAAGAGCACTTTTTTTTTTTTTTTTTTTTTGCCTCTCCCTACAAAATCAAAAT